GTACGTACTTTCGTGTGGCAAAACTTGCGTATCGCTTGGTCATTTAACAACGTGAAGCGCTGCTATTTTTTTCACTTGGGCTTCCTTATGTGTGGTCACATGACCTTTCTTTTTACGGGCACATGGCTGCTGCAGTGTCAGCGATTTGACTGCCTGAAGGGGACTACAATTGGGCCCGCGTTGCAATCGGGTTAGTTTCAGCGTCTTGAAAGCCAGGATTACACAGTTGCAGCTACGTTGATTTATGCAACGTGCTGGTCCTCGTCAGAAAAGAAATGAACTTGCGATGACTCCTGACCCTATATAGACTTCCGATTGTTTCAACGCCGTTTGAAGCATTTTGATGGCGGTTTTTTGAATCAGAAACTTCAAAATAAGTGGATGTAATGGTGTGGGCATTGTTCGAGTTACGGTGGTATTTTTGTACATAAAACTTTAAGCCTTTTCACCCGTGACGTACGTAGCACTGATCTGGTCCGCACGTGACACGACCAGCGCTCATCATTTGTGCACGCCACATGCGTTCCGCGTGTCCGTGGTCATGCAGCATCCGGGACATTTCCTTTGAGCGTTTGCAGGTGCGTATATCATGTAGTGGTTTGCAGCTCTGTTCTTTTTTCTGACGTTTCCCGTGAAGATTTGTTTCATACACCCGCAAAAAATTTGCAAATTGAAAGTAACAATTTCGTTTGATAAAAAGGTAGGCGAGATTAACTCCGACGTTTAGAACAATGTTCTGCTTGCTTCCTATGTACCAAAAAGAACCGTGTTTCGGGCACATGATCCACGGGGTTGCGCGCAATGCCATTTGTTATTAGGCGATCTCTTTTCCGGGTACCCGGGTACCCGATGTTAACAAAAAACGGGTACCCGGTTCTAAAAATACCCGCAAATGCACACCCCTAGGCTCTATGTCTCTACACTTTCTGTTACACAGGCCCGGGCATAGTGGGGTGTCCCGATACACCATAAGGTGTAACAGCAAAATAAGAAGAGTGTACCTTAAACTTTTAATGTCATCCAAAGCTCATTAAATAGTCACAGGATCTTATACACGGTATAAGGGACAGAAGAACACCAAGTTTTGCCTCATTAAATATGCACCGCAAAGGGCCACAAAAACACCAAATTTTCACCTAATTAAATATTCACAACGCATTTTACAAAAAATATCTGTATTAAATTCAAATAAATAAATTTGTGGACCCCCATACATTAATATCTAATTGTCTGATTTGCCAGTGGGCATACTTTTACTAGGTTAAAAAAGGATGGAGTATGGAGAAATATTTACAAGATTTTATACAGTCTAAATGGTACATATTGCAATTTTTTCACAAGATAGGTTATTTGTCAAGTTCCATTAATTTTCTCTATCAGAGCCTGACTAAATATACTTAATCTATGAGCTAATTCAGGTGTCCAAATTTCAATTGAAAAGTTATAAGTTTTCAAATTTTTCTGTACCAACATTTTTCTACATAAATATATATAAATATATCTAATCAAGAAAAATAAATGAAGAAACTACCTAATTTCAGAGTTTTTGTCGCTCACTCGGTTGCCACGGGATGGCCATTCTCATCCATGACAACTTGTCTTGGGAGTACTCGGCTGTGTTCCTCACTTGCGACAATTTCTCTGTCCAGCCACATCTGTGTTGAGGTTTTGCCCTGCACCGTCGCTATTCTCGTCTTCCTTGGTGGGGATGTCTCAGACTGAGACACTTCCGGCGGTTGCTGGGGTTTGCCCTCCTCCTCCGCAAGAAAGGAGGATGCAGTGGATTGATCAGAAGGAGGCCTTCGCCTCATCCCTGATCATGTGCAGCATCCCACTAGGCTCTCCTCCAGATGAGTGGATGTAGGGACAGGGGTGTTTGGTAAAGGAACAAGACCACTTCTCCTCCACAAGTGCTAGTTCTCAAAATAACAAGACAAGTCTGCCACAACTACCTAATAGTATATCGGAGGGGCACCTTACAAGCCCTTTTAAGGTACTGGCTGGGCGGTGACATGTCTTGCTCTTCCAACTGACTTTATTACTGGACTCTGAGAACCCATGCAATTCTTCTGTAATGGCATCTCCCATCACATGAACATCATTCCCGACCTCATAGGCCAACTCTTCAGATGAACTCTTATCTTCTGGATACTCTGTCAGCTTCATAGGGAGGTTTTCAGCCACTTTGTACCAAGGCTGACTTTCAGACCCGTCTGAACTGACATACAGCTTGAGTCCATCCACAAGGATAACCTTGGGTTTGCCTCCATTCTTTGGCTGGATGCGCACCATCACATCCGACAGCTTTTTCAAGATTAACCAAAGTCCTTCCCACCAAAATTGGAATTTGGGGTATAGATGTTTCCCCTTGGCTGGGTTCTGAAGCCAAACCATCTGGCATTCTCTTAAAGCGATGTTCAAATACCTTGCTGAACATGGGCAGCTTTGCCGAGGCATTCCTCGGCACTTTTATGAGCACCTTGCATGTTACTGTATGCAGTGTGTCTGCAAAGTCCATGGTTGTATCCTCAATTTTGGGACACCCTTTCACCAAGTCTACCATCATGTCATGTTCGGGGGTTCTCCAGTTGATTCGTGTGTTGCGCACCTGCAAAGTGGTGTAGGGGAGGAACGCATCTCAATCCTTCCACCTACGCTTTGGATATTAAGTAGCATTGCCACATTTTTCACCCAGACTCTGTTGAACCTGTCAACCGTGCCATCTGTTTTCGGATTATAGGCAGTTGTCTTGTCTTTGTCACACCCAGAATTTGGCACACCTCTTTGAACACATCTGCCTCAAAGTTGGAGCACACTTCAGAATGGAGCTCTTAGGGTACCCCAAACCGACACACTCATTAACCAGTGTATGGGCGACTGTGATGGCATTGGCATCAGGACGTATGAATGCTTCTATCCACTTAAAACAATAATTGCCAACTACCAACGCCCATCAGTTACCATTGTCCTCTGTGGGCAATGGCCCAGCAAGCCCTCCTTGCACAGACATCACAGTCTTGGAGAAATGACGTCCGTAGACATGCCTGGCCAAAAATACCTAGCTTTCACTTTGGCTGTGGCCAGAGTTTTAGGTACCCCCAAGTGACCACTACGTCTCCCACCGTACAACTCGGCTATGACTTTCTTGCTAAACTTCGGTGGCATCACTAATAGCCACCAGATGGACTTTCCATCTTTGGAGTCCCATCTCCTTTGAACACTCGGTCACCGACCTCCAACTGGTCCTACTGTGACCAATAGGTCTTGGAGGTCGCTGATAAGTCAAAAATTGTCTTCCACTGTTGGAAGTCCTTTGCTCTCTTCCTTCAACCCTATGAGCCAACTCATGATGTCATCCTACGACTGGGCTTCTCTTAGAGCACTAAAAAAACCCACTGCAGTGTGGCATGGCCAATTCTAATGGTTACCTTCCGGCCATATGCGTGTAGGTATTATTTGAAAAACTTCATATATATCACCACATCCAACAACTTTTAATCTTCGCGAGTGACACAGTAGTTTTGCTCAGGTTTCTGAGCTTCCAACTCGCATAAGCAAACACTTTTTTGTCACCATCTTTGACCTGGGACAGGACTGTTCTGATGCTGTCACCACTGGCACAGGTGTCCAAGTTGAAGTCACCTTCAGGAACCGCATATGACAGAACTGGAGCAGGTGGATCCAGCCCTTCAGCTCATGAAGTGCCTCAACAACTCTCAGTCCACACAAGCTCCTTTGACTTCTCTGTTAAGGCAAGGAGTGGGCTTGCAATCTCTGCAAACCCTCATATGAACCTCTGGTAGTCCGAGGCAAGACCCAAAAAGCTTCTCTTTTCATATACACCTCAGATTTGTCACTGCTTCAACCTTCAGTTTGTCTGTGTTTTCATTAAGTGAAAAAACCCGGATAATAGAGACATGTAATTTTTTGATTTGGAGTTTTTCCTGCTGTTACTCCCTTTGATCCAAAGAACACTGTATGTTTGCCTTTGGCCCGAGTCACCCAACCACCCATAGAGCATCCTCTTCCAAGCTTGTGGCCAACAACTCCCCGGCCTGCTCTTCACTCCCAATATCATTAGAAATGGTAGAGGTACCCTTCTAGAGCACTTTTCCACTATACCGGTCTGGAGTTATGTTTGGCCAACGATTTTGTCTCTACAATCTTCCCTTCTGACCCGAGTCACCATGGACATGTGCCTCTCATTTCAGTGGCCAAGGACCCACTTATGACAAGTCCACTCCTTCCACTGACTAGCTGTCCTTTGCCTTCACTAGTCAAGTTGCAAAACTTAGCAGCTCATATCACTGTGCACCTGTTTAGGGGTACCCTTTTCTACTTCAGAGACGAATGGGTTAGTACTTAACTCACCCTGTTCCACACCACCTTGCCTTGAAGGGAGCAGCGTCGGGTTATCAATGACTTGACTCTTGCATTCCAAGGCGACTGGCATTGACCCTGCTTGTGGTTTCATCCATGAGCCTGGGTCCTTTAGAGGCGTAATCTCCAAAAAGCTCACCTCCCTCCCTACTTTGGGGGCCCACTCATGGTGTCTGGTGCCCTCCTTTGCACATGACACTTGTCTCCCCGTTGCACCGGAGACATATCCAGAAGTCTTTTTTGGCAACCTAAGCTCAACATTGGTATGGAACGCATGGTGAATCCCTGCTGACCTGCCCGTGTTCCCTTCCTTTGGGGAACCATTCGACTGCAGTACAATCGCAGCATCCAACTACTTTGCAATGAGGCCTTTTTCCCATTGCAGAAATTGTGCTTCAATTTTGCAGTTGTTGTATCTCGGCCTGAGCATCTGAGGTGCCTGACAACAGCCCCAACGATCTCACAAAACAACAAACAGTATACAATGCAAATCAAAACACAGTGTGCAATGGAATAATATCACAGAGAAATCACGTAATCACTCACAGTCATCCCACTTCTGACAGCATTTGTGGTAGGGATCTCCCCGGGCCAAACCTAAGTTTGTTGGGCCGGTCTAAAACCTGTGGGAGTATAGCCGCTCTTCCCAAACCCAAGCTTTCGCCAGACATGGATTTGATTGGGTATACTTCATTACCAGGGTCCTTTAGTAGGATTGAGGAAGTTAGAGTCCTGCCCTGCCACTTTGATTTCATTGTGAACATTTCTGAAATTTTAAAGAATACAATTCAGGGGAGGACTTTTGAGGATTTGGGAATGTTTCTAGGAAACAGGGTCTTTCGATGCTGTCCTTATGTCTTACTATGGTATGTGAGTAAATTTACCATTATTTTGTCTTGACTGTCTGCTTGGACGAGTTTGGCCTCACAGGGAATGACAAAGATGACTCCGACAGTAAAGGTATGTACCTTGTCCAGAGACTATATGTGAAAGATTCTAGATTTAACAGAAATAAATCAGCAGTTTGATACAGAACTCTGCATTGTGACTTACAGTGCCCAACAAATTTGACGTTAGGTGCACACATTGCTTGATTTGTCGGTAATTTCTTCATGTGCTTTTGAAAAGAGATGAAAAAATTCAACAAAATCTAAACTCAGCAAAAACAGAAGAAAAAGTGAAGAAAATGGAAGTTTAATCTCCCTCTCTTTATTTGTGGTGTGTTTTGTAATGAAACCACTGGTCTGCTCTCAAAGCTTGAGTCAACTCTTAGAGTGATGTTAATTTTATCTCCTTTTTGTTTTTCCAACAGAATTAAAAAGTAAGCCTTAACCACTTGAAGTTTTAACCTACTCTTTGAACTACCAAGGTGCTTGACAAGACACTTTCATACAAACCTTGCTGGATACTACTAGATTGTTAGGAGATCAGATGAAAATGGTGGACTGCATCATTCCCAAGGTAACTCATGAGGAAGTGACAAAGCATATGGCTCCGCCTAACAGTCTTCCGATTAAAATCACTTTACTTGGGGACGATGAGCTGAGTTGGTAAAGACAATGTTGCTTAACCTAGCGCTGTGATTGGATCACTTACCTCTATTCTGCAAGTTGGAGTGGGTTCGAAGTGAGACAGTATTTTTCCGTACCCAACACAGTGTTGTACTGGATCACTTACCTCTTGTCTAAGAACGAAATGGATGGACATCACTACTGGAAACACAAACTGGCTTATGTTACATGGTAGTTTAAATTCTATGCAGCATCTTAAGGTAACAGTTACTGAAGTGTTGGAGATTGTTATATAAAGACTGTTTGCCTACAAAAATTGAACTCAGTTGCTTTTAAAGTAGTAAAACTTGTAAAAAATTGTGATCTGTGTTAACTAGAAATTTACCTTTTTTACATGAACATAGTATTGCATAACATTCATTTTTATGAGCTGCCTTTAAGGTTGAAAAATTAAGCGCAAAATATGGGCGATTTCTATGTAAGACCAAAAAAAAAAACTACAAAGAAGTTTTGAACTGGGTATCTTTGAAGGAAGTTGTAAAACTTGTAAACAATCGTAATGTATGTTAAATACAAAGTTACCTTGTTACGTTTAGTCCACAGTGAAGTTTTGTACAGATTAACTTTTGAAGTACGTGTAGTTGAACAAATTTGTAAAAAAAGTAGGTTGCCTGAAGATTGACCTGTTAATTTCATTTACATTCGATGGAACTGTATTTCATTATTGTGTAATTTAGTTTGGGTCTTGCACCACTTGAGTTTAGATTGTTTGCAGTGTCCATGTATTTTGGAAATTTGTATCCTCCTCTTCTTCAGACTCTTTACCTGTAGTTCATGCATCTTGGTTGGTATGATGATTGCCATTGAACAAAGGAGGATTCTGCTCTGAAAGCTTTTAATAGTCAGCTGAATGAGATGAAATTATGTAAAAGAATGAACTACGATATTTGTGGAAGCAGCATGAAATGTAGCGGTGCAACTTTGAAATTAAATTCCACCATTGGGGCACGGTTTGTGACATTTTGACACCTTTGCAGCTTAGGTATAAGGGGTCCAAGTTGAGATTTGTTATTTATACATGTGTAATAGCTTGTTAACTCCTATTAGTTTAACCTATTTTAGAGCACATTCGAGTGTTTCAGTACTATACCTTGCGAGTGTAACAAGGATGTAACACCACTTCTGGCAATTATGGTATTTAGTTATATGATATGAAAATGTTCCGTCGACGGGTTTCATGGATTAGCTGAGAAAATTTAAAATACTTTTGCTCAGAACAGGTTGATGAGCAAAAACGTGTTCCCTGATATTTATTTGGAGGAGAAACTGGTGCTACAAATGTAAATGTTTTGCAAAACAAAAATCTCCAACAGGTTATGTCTCTAATATTTGTTCTTAAGTATGCCAAAAGCGTCATTAAAAATGGTTAAAATAAGAATTCTGTTACAAGTTAGACGAACATTATCCATACCAATTCAGAAACTGCAAGGGACATGTATCCCTGTCCAGGAATTTGTCAAAATGTCACAAAACAATTAACTCATGGTACAATCCAAATTATTTTCCCTCAAACGAGTATGGAAGATACGAAAGCTCCGTAGTGCCTTTAAGTGTGTATTTTCAAAAGTGAACTAAATTATTTCGAAGACAGGAGATACGTTTTTCAAACTCCGTTTATACGAGATATAGTTTTCGAAAGTTTGTTTGAGACAAACATTACCCAGTTTGTTCTAATGAAATCTATATTTAGAAACATTTCTATTTTTCGCAACAAATCGTTTTAGGAGATATATTTTTCGATGAAGTTTGTTTCCAGGAGATATGTATTTTCAGGATTGGATTCTTAAAAAAAAACGAACTTCAAGATAATACAACCCCTAAAAACGAACTAAAAAATCTTACAACAAACATGGAAAATTTAATTCCAAAAATAGAAACGTTTCTACTTACAGATCTTATGGGAACGAACTGTAGAATGTATCTCGAACAAATGAACTATGGAAAAAAAAACAAAATTTCTAAAAACAAAACCGAGTTTAAAAATAAAAGTCATAAAGACGAATTCTGAAAGATATACTTCACATCTTGAAAATATATAGTGGATGGCACTACGGGGCTTTCGTAGGAACATGTATAAATGCAGACGTTAGTTACTATGTACATGTTACTCGATACTTCTTGTAAAAGACATGCAATAAAATTAATATGAAGTTTCAAAATGGACATGATGCCTCAGTGAATATATTATTACCTCCGTTGTAGTATCTTTTAATGCCTGAATTAGATGGCAATATAAAAAAAATCTTCTTT